TTTATTTATTTTTTAGTAATTAAAGCCTTTGTTTCCCTCTGAGACTTCAAATCTCGGTGTGACAGGAGAGCTCCGGTAGACTGTTTGGTTGTGAGGTGTGTTCTGTTTTTTCAATCATGTGTCAGTCTTTAAAGTTTGCCTGATCTGAGGAGGACGGCATCTCGCTCCTGTGTCTGTTGATTGTTTGATATGGAAGTGGAAAAGACAAATTGAATCTTGCTCTTGAGGTGTTGCAGCTCCAGACACACAAAGTGTATTTTAATGTCCTCACAAACTTTTTGCAAGAACAAACTTTGGTAGAGGTTTTAGCTTCTCGAGTTTGAGAAAAAGTAAACCGGAGAGTGTAAGCTCAGATTGAAATGTGATGATGTGCAGTGAGTAACAGAAAATGGAATAAGGCTTTAGTGTTTTCTGTGGGTTCCCTCAGACTGAGTGTGTGTGTGTGTGCATGTGTGACTGAGATGATTGCTCCTCCATCCAGCTCCTGTATTTCAGGCTCTGGAGGTGAGCCGAGGCTGTGGTTCCTCAGGCTGCAAGTAATGGAAAGAAAGAGCAGTAGGGTTTCTCCTCTCGTCCACGTGGAGGCATGGAAGACCCCGCTAATGATCCGGCCTTACTGAAGCAGTCTGTGCACGATGCATGCAAGAACTAAAACAGCTGGATTGTTTAACCAGCTTTTTTTTTTTCCCTGCCAGCCTCCTAATACAGTTTCCACAAGAAGGCACGGTGATCTAATGTGTGCACACAGCAGGTTATATTCAGCGAAATCCACTGTGAGCGAGCGATGGTGATATTAGAGCAGTGTTTAAACTCAGTTCTGCAATCCTGGATTTCTGCACGTCTCTCTAATGTCATGTCCTACCTCCTTAGACCCCCCCCCCCACAAACACACACACACACTTGTCTGACAGTGACATCTTAAAGTGTGATGGACATGTTTTGAAGATTTCTGGAGTGCATGTGTGAAAACAGCTCGAGAAAAAAAATACTGCAAGCGACAAAAAGCAGTCAAAGAAAATCAACGAGTCATTACCATGTCTAATGAGTTCCGAGGACACATTCTTGTGCAGCAACAACACAAAAGAGTTAAGAAATGACGAGAGAGAGCGAGGTCAGGCTCGTTGTGAGTGGAGTCAATCAAAGAGTCACGGGGGGGGGGTAATTGCGTTTGAGCCGTAAACACAATTAGAGAGAACGATGCCTTTTTCTCACCCGCCCCCTCCTCCCTGCAGACAGCTTCAGACAGACAGCCATCATTTCACAGCTCCCACCAAACCACACGGCGCATATTTCTCACAGACACTGAGGCAAAAGAAGAAGAAAAAAAAAAGGGAAGATTAAGAGAAAAAGTGGAGACGCAGAGCAGAGCGCCGACCTGCTGCCAGACACCGAGCTCCGTGTCTGAGAGGCCTTCAAGACCTGACGGAGAGGGAACTGACACCGTCCCACTCATCTGGCCTCAGGAGCCCTGTGTGTGTGTGTGTGTGTGTGTGTGTGTGTGTTTCAGTGTGTGTGTGTGTGCGTGTGTGTGTGTGTGTGTGTGACTATAATTGCAGAACCCGGTATACACAAAAACAACTGTCCACAGTTGTGACCACAGCGAGGCGTGGGCCCTCCGGATACCACAAAACCCCTCAACTCCACAAAAAAAAAAACAACAGCAGTGCTGAGACACACACACACACACACGCACAGATACACATACACATACACACACACACACCAAAGTTATTAACGTACAAAAAATGATGAAATGACTGAATCAAAAACAGTTTTGTGTAACTGAAATCAGAGGCATGTTTAGACTTTTTTTTTTTTAAGATTTATTTTTGGGCTTTTTGTGCCTTTAATGCAGAGAGAGGACAGTGGATAGAGTCTGAAACCAGGGAGAGAGAGAGGACAGTGGATAGAGTCGGAAACCAGGGAGAGAGAGCGGACAGTGGATAGAGTCGGAAACCAGGGAGAGAGAGCGGACAGTGGATAGAGTCAGAAACCAGGGAGAGAGAGGACAGTGGATAGAGTCAGAAACCAGGGAGAGAGAGAGGACAGTGGATAGAGTCGGAAACCAGGGAGAGAGAGCGGACAGTGGATAGAGTCGGAAACCAGGGAGAGAGAGGACAGTGGATAGAGTCGGAAACCAGGAGAGAGAGAGGACAGTGGATAGAGTCTGAAACCAGGGAGAGAGAGAGGACAGTGGATAGAGTCTGAAACCAGGGAGAGAGAGAGGACAGTGGATAGAGTCGGAAACCAGGGAGAGAGAGAGGACAGTGGATAGAGTCGGAAACCAGGGAGAGAGAGCGGACAGTGGATAGAGTCGGAAACCAGGGAGAGAGAGGACAGTGGATAGAGTCAGAAACCAGAGAGAGAGGACAGTGGATAGAGTCGGAAACCAGGGAGAGAGAGAGGACAGTGGATAGAGTCAGAAACCAGGGAGAGAGAGGACAGTGGATAGAGTCAGAAACCAGAGAGAGAGGACAGTGGATAGAGTCGGAAACCAGGGAGAGAGAGGACAGTGGATAGAGTCGGAAACCAGGGAGAGAGAGTGGGGAATGACATGCGGGAAGGGGGCCACGGGTGGAAGCAAACCCGGACCTACCGCTCGAGACGAGAGTCTCAACACATGGGACGCGCGCCCTAACCACTCCGCCACCAGTGCGCCCCATGTTTAGACTTTTTGACTGGAGTGGCTCACTGACTTTTGGAGGGGTGGTCTGAAGTGTGATTTGCGCACCAACACACACAAATGAATATAAATGATTCACCCTTTCTAACTAATTATACAGTATCATCTTTAAGATAATGACAACATTAATGACACAAAAAGAAGATTTATGATACATTTTTGATACAAGCACTTCAGTGAGAGTTTCCACACATGCACAGACCTCCTGGGAGTTTCTCAACATTTTCAGGGTGAGCTGCGTGTGCGAACGCAAAGGGACACATTTAGTAACCCAACTCTTCTAGACATTTTCCTGCCAGCCCCCGTGGTCAAAAATCATGGAGGAGAGCCGGTGTGTGAAGGCAGCAGGGAATATTAACTTCTGGCGAGCGTGAGGGTGTGATGCTGATTGACTGGTGTGATATTGGAGCACGTCATGAGGCTGCTCTTTTCTGCTTATCATTTGTTTTTGTGTAATCAGTTTGAGTGTGGCTACAGATTTTGGTGATTTAAAAACTAGAACGTTCGTTCGACATTTGGTGCCTTTGACCTCCATTTTTCTCCTGATTGATTTTTACTTGAATCGTATCAAAGTTTAAAAAATATGTCATTGTGACGACTCTATAAAGTTGTCGAGTTTTTCTAACAGATTGATTTTTCTTTGACCCCCTCCTCACCCTGAAACATACAATCTTATTTCCTTTTTTAAACATCTTATCAGTCCTGTGCTGCCGTCTCCTTCTGTAGTTTCTGATTACATTTTCTTCTTCTTCAGTGGAGCCGCTCCGCTCTGTAATCTGCTCAAGGTGGAGAAGGTCACAGTCAGCCGAGCACAGCCGCCCGTCCTCTCTCACCTCCACCCCTCTCTTAGTTTTTATCTTTGTGTTTGGTCACAACAGTGACTCTTTCTCTCTCTGGTGATCTCACACACACACGGGCATTGATTTAAAAATCACAAAGCTGAGAAAAACTGGCAGGACTTTGTCACTGCTGACAGCTTCGCCCGTCTCTTGTGCAGGGCAGCATTGTTTACACATGGACAACTGATTGTGTGCTTGGGTGTGTGTGTGTTTGTGTCTTGCTTGAAAGCTCCTGAATGTGTTTTCAGAAGCTTTTTGAAATAATAGTAGCCTGTAAATCTGCTCAATGTATTATTTTCTTCAGCCTGTAAGGTCATGTCCTGCATATTTTTACAGGATCCACCCAAACTGTGCAGGACTTTTGTTAACCCAGATTCCACTTTTAAAAGAGAGGTTGTTCAAAAAGCCCCCACAAGATACAGGAATTTAATGCTATAGTTAATGATATTTATGTTACAGAAAGTGTCACATTTAGTTTGAAGCATTGTCTGTTATTCTTGACCAAGTGGGTTTAAATATGTGAGGCCTCTGTGGAGAGACTTTGTGGAAATGGATTCAAATAATAACAGAGATTGTATCGTTTCTAAACGTGCTATTTGCAGTCACCAAATTGCAGACGAGGAAGCTTTTTTTTAAATCTCAATGCTCTGTAAATATAAACTATGAAAATCAAAAAAGGATTATGTGCATGATTTGAATATTCTACTGATGGATGCACAACCAGATTCTTGGCCCTTTCATAGTAAAGTTTGCGAGTCGTTGTGGATTATGAAATGTGAAGGAGTGATTTAAAGATGGTGTGTGCACACGTGCTCAGAGGAGTCTTGTTTGTGCAGCTGATCCTCGTGTGGAGGAGCTCAAGGTCAGCCTCCAGAGACCCAACAGTAGTACTGGCATCTTCATCTTTTTCACCTCCCCCCCCTCTCCTCCTTCTTTCCTCCCCACCTCACCTCTCCTGTTTCCTCTCCATATGCCAAAAACACTCCTGTCTGAGATCTCCCTCCTGCTGAGACTTTCCTCTTTCGGTGCAGGATCAGACTGCAGAAGGAGCTTTATTTTTTTTCTCTCAGACTGCAGGTAATCTTTAAGGAGTAGGAGAGACCAGCTGGTGGGCTGTAGAGAAAAGATTTAACACAGTATTGAGCCATACATTTACGTTTTGTGTGTGTTGTCTTTGGCACTCAGGCGTCTCCTTCTCTCAGACATATCCAATGGAAAATAAAACAGATCTTTACTTTTCCAGCTGGTCAAACATGTTGCTCCTCATGTGTTCAGTATTTGACCTCAGCCTCGAACCAAAGACTTGTTGGGACAGACCTCAAACAGATGATCACAGGACTGATTGTTCTCTCAGGTTTAATCGAATATCTAATTGAATTGAGAACACTGTGTGTCTGAAAAGAAAATAACATGATACATTTGGAGTGATACATGATTATACAATGTGTGAGTCTCGTCTTTTCCTTATGTCGTTCCAGGAGACGGAGCGTGAGAGTCACAGTGAGCGAGAGCGAGTCAGATCTCAGATCCTGGAGTTACACGGTCAGCAGACGCAACAAAGCAGAGAGCAGCAGAGAAAAGGTGAGTAATGCTCGTCCACTACCGATCGGATCTGAGGAGATGAAGCCTCCTTTACTCATGCACTGCTGAACATTTCCATAATAACGTTGAGGTGTAATGAGGGGACAAAGTGACCCCCCCCCCCCCGTGCTGCATCAGTAGTAGTAACAGAGGAATGCAGAGCCAGAGGGAGGAGTGCAATGATGACAGTTTTGTCTTCATATCAATGCTATGTGGAATTGGATTTATTCACAATTTTAACAAATGAGCAGAAACCAAAAGGAAATGCAAAAATGCGTCATTTCATGCAGAAAAGATCTCACCAGTCACACACTGGCTGCGTGATTTAAAAAAAAAAAAGTTATCAGCTCCGCCTGCTCGCTCATAGTGTACTTTCCTGATTGTCTGCTGCATTTTACATATCCACTCACTCTGGCTTCTTACGGAAATTTATCTCGTGTCTGGCAGGAAAACATCCAGATAATACCAGGTTTAAAAAAGTGAGTCATTTGCAGTCATCCAGGCACCCTAACCTAAAGATTTTAGGAAACGGTCAGGAGCTTTGTGCATGTGTGAAAACTGTTTCTCGTCCTTCATTTTCTCTGCACGCTCCAAACACTTCCTATATGTTCAGCAGCGTCACACCTCAGGAGCTGTTGATACTTGAAATCTGTTTGTATACAGTAAACACTCACTTTAAGGTCAGGCTTGGGTTGGCAGTTCTAACTCAAAAAGCCAACACTGATCACCTCTGTTGTGTAAGGATGTGAATGCATATATATCTGCCTTGATGCAATTTCCTCCTCTCTGCCTGTTAAAATAGTCCGCTGAAGGAGCCTTTCTCCCGAGGTGGTGGTCAGGAGGTCATACTCTCTTTAAGCTCCTTCATCTAACTTTTATTAACTGTTTCAGTCGCTCACAGGCAAAGGATTAATGACTCCGGCCTTTTAAGTGTGAGGACATTTCATTAAACCCTCTGTTAGCCCGAGCGTTAATTAAGAAGTATGAATGAAAGCCTTCAGAAGGTCATGAATGAACTTCCTTCACTTGAAGCTTTGCAGGCACAGAGCCAACGATGAATAGCTTGTAAAATGTCAAAAGTGCATTGTGGAGGATAAATGTTGTTATAAACCCGCCAAGAGTGTTTCGGATTTTGATATTTAAGAACAAAATTTAAAATGTACAATCTACCTCAAACAGGACACCAAATTGAACTCGTCTTTTATTCAATATAAAGGATTTTTTTTTTTTATCCCTTTTCACCTTTTTCATCAGGTCACATCTGATCTAACCTTAGCGGCTTAGCCTCAGGCTGACATCCATAATAAAAAAAGTCATTCTGTGTGGCCTGGTCTGCCCTGGACTGAGTGTCCCTCTTATGGACCTGGGCTTGGCCGTGGGCTTATGGGGAGCAACAGAGGGAAACCCAGCAGCCACACCTCTGCTAAAAAAAGCAGATACCAGAACAGAACTGAGGGCTTGGCGGAGAAAACTGCCCACTGTTCTTGATATATCCCTACCTTACAATTTAAACCAGGGTGAAGCTAGGGTAAACAACAAAAAAAAAGACCACCATAGAAAAGTAAAGAAAGAAGGCGCTTATTAAAGCGGAGACATATCAACAAAGATGTGAAGTCAGGGTGGGCCGGCTGATGTGTCTTTGCATCACAGAGGAATAAGAGATTTGGACTTGATTTGGCCTAGTTCTGTTTGGTCTTTGAATGCAACACAAACACATACCTCTACTTCTCAGACAGAAAGCTCATATTTACAAGCAGCACCTCAATGATCATGTGTCCAGCTGTTCTGCTTCATAGTCCAAACTGTAACTGCTAAGGCTGTGATTTAGGAAATGAAATGTTTGCAGACTCTCAGTGGAATGTGCTCTGTGCCTCTTTGGTTCCCAAAAGAGAAAAACGTACTGAACTTTAAGTTTAACGATGATGCAAATTTTACACAGAAACCCAATGAAGGACTGAGCACTAGAGCATCTGTTGTGTTGCCAAAAATACCAGGCCACTAGTCATGAATAAATTCCTACTATCAGACCTCGGCTTGCAGCTGAAGCATGATGCAAAACTTGGTCAACCAAAGAGGTGACATTGTTTTGAAATCTTTGCTTTTTCAGTCTAAAAAACCTGAAGAATTTCCAAAACCTGACACAACACCGTACCATCCCATCCCAAACCGTACCATCCCATACCATCCCATCTAATCCCATACCATCCCATCACAAACCATACCATCCCATCCCAAACCGTACCATCCCATCACAAGCCATACCATCCCATCTAATCCCATACCATCCCATCACAAGCCATACCATCCCATCTAATCCCATACCATACCATCCCATCACAAACCATACCATCCCATCTAATCCCATACCATCCCATCCCAAACCGTACCATCCCATACCATCCCATCACAAGCCATACCATCCCATCTAATCCCATACCATCCCATCACAAGCCGTACCATCCCATCTAATCCCATACCATACCATCCCGTCACAAACTTTACCATCCCATCACAAACCATACCATCCCATCTAATCCCATACCATCCCGTCACAAACTTCACCATCCCATCTAATCCCATCACAAACCATACCATCCCATCTAATCCCATACCATACCATCACAAACCATACCATCCCATCTAATCCCATACCATCCCGTCACAAACCATACCATCACAAACCATACCATCACAAACCATACCATCCCATCACAAACCATACCATTCCATCTAATCCCATACCATCCCATCACAAACTTTACCATCCCATCTAATCCCATACCATCCCTTCACAAACCATCCCATCACAAACCATACCATCCCATCTAATCCCATACCATCCCATCTAATCCCATACCATCCCATCTAATCCCATACCATCCCATCTAATCCCATACCATCCCGTCACAAACCATACCATCACATACCATCCCATCACAAACCATACCATTCCATCTAATCCTATACCATCTGGTCACAAACCTTATCATACCTCTAATCCCATACCATCCCATCACAAACCATCCCATCCCATCACAAACCATACCATACCTCTAATCCCATCCCATCCCATCCCATATCATATCAAACTATACATACCATATCATGCCAAACCATATCAATAAAAAACACAGATAAATAATTACATAATCTTTTCAACCTGGATAAAAACAAGTTTTGGAAATAAATCAATATATGTGTAATAATATCGCTACAGCTTGTTCAGTTCAGTACCTTTTGAAGGCCGTTAAATATCCTAACCAATAAGGGACGATTTAAATCGATTATTAAAAAAATTATTCAGGTTTACATTTTTTGAACATCAAAAGGACGCTGCCTGTCCTTGACTCCTCTGTTCAAGGACTCACGTCTCCTACACCTGTGGCTGAGTTGTTTTCCTCAGTTATTAATAACTATTAAGTATTCAGAATTGCTGTATTGTGATATTATAGTTATCAGAGGCATCGTATGGTACCGTACAGTATCATATGGTACTGTACCGTATCGTGAGTTCCCTGGTGATACCCCCCTTATTCCTGATACACAGGAGCAGAGGTAACATGAACCATGTGTCACCCTTTAAGAGGGAAGTAGCAGTTTACTATTGACCCTTTCACACAGTGACTACAAACATGAGCTCTCCTCAGGTCACCGCTTCCAGTTTAAAGAAAGCCCTGGTCAGTCTTTGTTCAGGCTCTAAAAATTGGCTGGCAGCGAAGTGGCTTCTTTTGTAGCTATTTTAGAGCTAAAAGCAAGCCTCTCATTATCCAGCACCAGTGGGGGATTTTCCCAGAAGTATCTACACAATGGACATGAGAGCGTTCCAATACTGAAAACAAGAACAATATGGTGAGAGTTTGTTGAAGAAATGGTGTATTCTGGCTCTCAGTCCACTTTCACTGGAGCAGTAATTGAGTTTGGGATGAGTGCATCATTAGATTCAGACACTGCTGACCACTGGACCAATCATGGTGTCACATGTGAGAGAGGGGCCGCCATTAATTCTCTTAATTAAGTGTCATAATCACGTTTTCTATTCAGAGCGTATTACATAACTGCTGCTCTGTTTAATCAACAACTTGCAGTTATTTATAAACTGATTGTGCACAAATGAGTGATTATCTATTTAAGGAAGGTGTTGCACAATAAAGAGGCTAACTGTTCTTCACAGAGCTGTGGGTGTCCCAGGAAGGCGGTCAAAATGTTTGATAGTTTACTTTACGATACCACATGTTTTATCGTGTTTTATTCTGATGATTGATAATATTCAAAACGACTGAAACCTTTCAAATCTACTTAATAGATTTTGTGCAAAGGAGAGGACTAAGTCAATAATATACTACATGCCAAGTGCTGCCAACTATTGCACAAAAACATTGGTAAAGTTATGGTAACCAAACGGTTTTTGTTTGCAATTTAGTCATTGTGCAGGAGCGAGACTACAATTTTTGACCATTGAAAACAAGAAATGATTCAATATTGAGGCCCAAGGATTTTTTTTTGCCATTGGTTTCAGTGTTGTTACATTTTTACAAATATCATATCCAAGTGTAAAATGTTGGATTGTCCCAGTGGATCTGGACAAAAGTTCAAAGAGTTTCCTGCAGCCACTGCTCAGAACGGAGTCCCTCTTTGATCTGGTCTGTAATTGAAAGGCGTGCATACTTGGTCAACCCTGTTTGGTCGCAGAGTTGGTGCAAACACAGGTCACACTGAAGTGTTTCTAAGCCGTGGTGTGTACATGGACATGTGGGAATCTGATAGCCGGTGTGGTTTGCACACAAAATCTGATATTTCAGCACGGAGTTAGAGGTAGAGACAGTCACAGAGGGAGGATGTGGGCAGTGCTGTGATGTTTGGAGAGCGGTTTCCTGAGGAGAGAAGGAACACTGAAGGGTCTGAACAGAGGAGGGGAAGTAGTTTTTCCTTGTCTCTATTTCACACTCACTTCCTCCTTAGCTTCTTGTACTTACTAACCACCTCGTGCACCGTCTCTTTGGTTACGACCACTCCTTCTCTTTTACGCAAATCCATTGACACAATCTCACAAATCTTGCTCAGGAACTGAGGCCAGTCTGGAGGAAATGCCTACATCCCTCATGTCTCCACATGGCTCCTTCTGTGATCCTAAAGAATGATTTGTGAGCCCGGCCTCTCACGGGGCCTCGCTGCCCCCAAAGTGTTTTATTTCTAATATTTCAACTCAAACTATACCACATCCTGTTTCCTTTTACTCACAAAACCTAACACCCCTCTTTCAAAGTGAAACTAAAAGCCTGCAGGGATGAATTCTTCTGGACTTTTTAGACCTGAAGAATTAACCCACGATTAATTTATCCAGGAGGTTTGTAGTCCAAGTTCAGCTTGAACTCAACCTGACGAGTCCTTAAAAGATGTTTCCGAGGGTAAAAGTTTGAAGACATTTTGTTGAGCAACATGTTTCAGCTGCAAAAAAGGTCCGCAATTCTAACTTTTTCTTGTGTCCTCTGTCACAGGCACAAACTCAGGTATGGTGCTGGTTCTGGATCACCTGGTGAAGGATGACGGCTCTGGACCGCTGCTAATCCAGCCTCCGAGGGAAACAATGACCACAGAGCCTGACCTGGTCCTGTCTCATCGTCAAAGGTCCGACTCCTCTGCTTCAGACCGCAGCGTGACCTCGGTGCTCTCCAGGTCCAATCTGGATCCCTTGGTCTCAGAGAAGAGTCTGGGCTCTTCGTTCAGAGCCCGGCTGGACTCTGGAGCTTCAGACCGGAGCCAGAGTCCCTTCCAACGCGGTCGGCTGGATTCAGGGGCGTCGGAGCGAAGCGTTGGCTCCCTCTCCTTCGTCAGACAGAGGCTGGGCTCAGACGTCTCGGATTCCGGCGTCAGATCCCGTAGAGGCTCCGGGGGTTCAGACATCACCGCTCTGTTGCCAAGGAAACGGACGGACTCCGGGATGTCCGAGCACAGTGTGAGCATGTCGTCCGAGGAGAAGTGTCCAACAGACGAGGTGGAGGTAGTCAGCACAGATTCAGAAACTGAGAGCAGAGACAAAGGTCCAACCCCTCGATGCTCAGTCAGACCAGGATCAGGACGGCATCATGGACCAGGATCAAACTGACGGGGCGGTTTTATCTCGGAGGAATCCCGTGAATGGACTGCTCAACGGCAGCGCCAAGGGAAAAACGGACTTCCAGAAACCAAAGGTAGAGTACACAATCATATCTAAGAGAAAAAATAACACAGCAGAACGCAGCGTCAGCGTCGGGTGTTTATGGAGCCAGTGTGTAAAAAAACTGCAGTTCCTTAAGTGTCCACTGGGATTTCACTTATACTCCATGTAGTGACCAATTTGAACAAATCCAATATTGTTTGGAAAAGTCACTTGAGGGATGAATGTGGAAGCTTTCGGACGCGTGCTTAGCTCGAAGAAATCAACACAGTCCATTGATGATTTGATTTGGATATTTCAATCCATTTATTTTAAACACTTCTTATCAAATAAAGGAAAATATGACGAACCACTACGTCTATAAATAAACAAACAAATCCGCGTTGGATGCGTTTAACTCCGACAGGCTGACACGGTTAAAAAAAACCCTGTTTGCCTCCATTCAATCACCTGTCCCACCTCACCTGGATTTAACCACAGCAATACAAACAAACACACATCACTTGGCTCCAACACTCCATGACACGTGTGTCGGACCTTTCTATGTATCTTCACTGTCAAAAGACCAAATAAGGATTTATCTTTTAGCTGAACAGAGTGCGTCCCTTCAGTAGAGTAACAGAGGTTTTCTAAAGCGCATTGTTTGAGCAGTTTCTTGGATTCTTTATATTTATATATTAACCCGAATCTCAGATGATTCACAGCAGGGATCCACTGTGTTGATCATAACTGCACCACTAGAGTGGAGTGTCGAGCTGAACACCCAGCTCTCTCTCTCTCTCTCTCTCTCTCTCTCTCGCTCTCTTTCTCTCTCTCGCTCTCTCTTCATCTCTAATGCCGTCACTCCATTCTTCAGTGACACCCAGGTCACATCGGCATCCATAAACACATCGCGCTGAACTCCTGTTTGCTGCTGTTTGTCTTTAGTTACCTGGATACACAAACAAAGTGTACACCTGAGTGTCTCTGCTTCACCTCAGCGGCGTGTCAGCCTCACCTGCTGTCAGCGAGGAATCTGTCTCTGCTCATCCCACACACACACACACACACACAGATGCTGTGTCTCCCCACACTGTTAACCGTGGGTGCAACGTTTCCCATCTTGGGGGTCTCAGGTCCCCGTGACGCCATCGTGTCGCTCTTCTTAATGTGTTTACTCAAGGCCCCGGCCCCGGACTTCTTTTATTGTTCCCCGCAAGATACGCTGACGCTCGCTCTCCTGAGAGAAATGTAAACACTCTCTGGGGCCCTGCCATGGCCCCCCTCTGCCAAAAAAAGAACAGAGGCCCACTGCTCTCTCCAAACACAAAATGTTACATAATGAAAACATCACCCGGTTGATCCTCTGTTTAGCACTGTGTGTGTAGATGTGAGTGTGTAGTGTCATGAATGTTCGTCTCTGCTCTGTTTAAACATGAAGCTCCTCAGGGACAGAAAACAGGCCCGCTGCAGGTTCATGTCTGCATCTGATGGTTCATTCTAATGGTCACGTCTCTTTGCCTTTTTTTTCCCTTTTTTAGATACCTAACAGTGATCTGCCACTCACTCATGGGAAAGCAAAGGATTCTGGTAAGAAAAAAAGTCAATTTCAAACTTTCTGATTCAACCAATAGAAAATCAGCCAGCATGTATTTATATACGTATGAAAATCCCCCGCTGAGATGACTTCTTTCGTGCATTATGATGCCTTGTTTGATCGTATCATTTGGAGCACTCACTGGTCAATGCAGTGGACTTTAAGGGTGACGTGTAAAGATGGCCTCGTGTGAGTGCGCCCTTACTCTGTCATATGGCCTGGCTTCATGCTGAGTCTACTTTTGTATTGTCAAACTTCTTACTTTATCGTATGATTTCTTACTCTGTCATATGGCCTGGTATCATGCCCCACTAACAACTTGAGAAGCAAGAATGCTACTGCTGTCACCAGATGCCCAAGAGCAGGTTGTAAGCTGCAAGTGCATGCAGATATCTCTTCTGGGATTTCATTACAGCAGATTATGTTCCCCCTTTTTTCAGAATCAGAATCAGGATGACTTTATTAATCCCAAGGGAAAAATGCTCTTTTTTTTCTGTATACAGCTAGTACCCCAAATATTGATGATGCTAGATGTTTACCAGTGAAGTCCAGCACACTTCCGATACCAAAATCAGATCCAGTGCCTACAGATTCTGCATTAAATAATAATAATAATTTATCCTTTGTTAATCCTGTGAGGGGAAATTGAATTTTACACTCTGTTCAATGAACATGCTACACAAACATAGGCTGAAATACACACACACACACACACACACACACACACACACACACACACACACACACACACACACTGTGGACATGCATTAATGGAGAGGTGTCAGAGTGAGGGGGGCTGCCCACAGCAAGCGCTTCATAGCAGTTTTTTGGGGTTCGGTGCCTTGCTCAAGAGCACCTCAGGAAGTGGAAATTTCCTGAGACTGAGCTACTGCCGCCCAAAGACAGATGACTCTCTCTTAAACCATAGTGTCTTGAATGTAGTCTCTTGATTTTGCAGAAAATGTTTGTATCTTTGGTAAGGACTATGCTCTGTAAGGACTCCAGCATCAGGAGACCACCTCAGTTATTAATGTGACCATTTAGGGTCAGGACAGATAGCCGGGAAGAGAGCATGTAATAATATCCTTCCCTTTTCTCCTTTTTCTAACAGAGAGTGCTCTTTGCTGTGTCCACTGTACTATAAACTGTGGTTTCCCCCTTCAAAGCAGCACATCTCCTTTTCCTTTTGTTAGGATGACCTCAGTGAATATCTTCTCCTCTAATCACTAATGCTTTTTCCGTCAGAGGGTCTGTGCCAAATCATGAGCTTTGTACACATTATCTGACAGCATTAAGGATCCGAGTGAAAGAATATCCATGAGTGGAAGAAACATGTCCTGAAAAGTCCATAAAATAGGATCTGAGAGACGGTGAAATGGGGGAGGTTAAGTCAAGCAAAATAAAGGGGGCTGGAACAAAAAACCTGGAGAGGGGAGGAAAAGAGGGATGGGGATGTGGAGGAGGAGATGAAAACAAGAAGCTATAGGAGATAAGGGAGTGTAAGAGTGTTTTTAAACTTCCCTCCTGCGTTATGTCTTCACAGCACCTGACAAGAAAGATGTGACAGTGGAACAATTCAACCGCACTAACTCCGTGCGGGATCGAATGCGAAAGTTCACAGAGCCCTGCCAGAGCCCAAACGTCCCGGCTTTGAAGAAAACTCCTCTGAGAAACGGGACGACCTCCGGCAGCAGAGCTCCAGAGCTGTTTACACACACAGCAGCATCCCTCAGCACATCTGGAGCCGGGCCAGCGAGGCCGCATGTGGACTCCACAGCTCACACCTCCTCCGCTGCCGCCGCATCTCAGAGTCAAGCCACGCCTCAGACGAGAGGCGTCGCTCACAAACCCCTGTTTGCAACCAGCCAATGGCAGAACTCGGTGGGCGGGGCGAGGCATCCGGCTGAAAAAGATGTGCACGCCTCCAGCAGCTCAAAGGAAGACGGGACCCCAGGGAGAGCAGCCGGACAGCAGGTCACCCAGGGAGAGGCAGACCCGGATATGAAGACTTTCCTCACCATCGAGATCAAGGACGGGCGCACCACGTCGTCCTCCACGGCCTCGCCCAGCAGGGGCAACATCATACCCATCACCACCATGACCCCACGCATCAACACTAATGCTCTGGGACAGAGACAAGGTAGGAGCATCAACCTCAGAATATCCCTCCTGAATCCTCAAAATACTCTCTCTTCTCATGCTGATTTTTAAAAGTTTAAATCCAGGAACACCTGCTTCTTTTTTTTTATTCTCCTAATGCAAAATGCTTTTAAGTGCAAACTCAGCAATATTTCCCCCTTGTCAATCTTTAAAGAGTTCTTTAAAGCTTCTATGAGGAGTTTTTAACTGGTTTTAAAACTGAAATAAATATTAATGTCTCTTTATGACCAACAAAAGCAAAAAAAAAACACCAGAGACAAGATTGTAGGATACCTGATGTTTAAATTTCGATACACTAGTGTAAATTAAACTATATTGACACCTGTCTCAATAACAACAACAACATTACACGTCCTGGGCTACCAGCGGGGCTTTATTCCTTGTGTTAAATTACCAAAAATTACAAGCAAACTCCAGCACGCTGTCTAAATTACACAAAAACATTTGCAACGCTTCATTGCAACGTGTTTGTGTGCCGCTCTCTTCTCTTGTAGCAGCTTTTTCTTAAAAATATTAAAGTGACTCTACTTCTTAATACTTTTTATCATTGAAATTAAAGGGATTGTATAATTTAAAACATGTGGTATTGGAAAGTATCAAATTATTGACATTTATGACAACTTTTCTTTGTCATTAGTAACACCTCAAGCTGCTGCCGGCTGCAGTAGGAGGCAAAGGAGTGATTTACTTCAAGCTGAAGAAACAGTCTTTTTTTTAAATTTGCAAAGCAAAGGTTCTTAAAGTGTGATATATGTATGACTGTTCAATAAAAGTAGGATGGGATTAGTTGATAAATACCAAAACACAGCTTGTCACAAAATCAGCTCAGATGTCCCGCTTGGTCCTCAAAATGACGAGATTCAATTATGCAAACGTACAGCCCATGCACTGTGTTGTTGCTGTTGTGACTCTTAAATTAGCATCCCAAAATCTTAAATTGCTATTGTCGACTCTTACATCACAATGGAATCCCAGCCGCTTGTGGGACGTGACGGGCTCCAAAGAATCGGTCACGAGTGGGACGATGAGAAGAGGACAAAGCACAAACATGAGTGATGAGTGGGGATACAGCGTGGCTGTACTGAAGGGTGTTTGTTATGAAGTGGGCAGTGCTGCGATGAAGAGGGGGTGAGGTCAGCAGAGAGTGTATCTGCTCAGAGGAAAACAACAACGGGCTGTGTGAGAGCACGCTGAATAGTCCCACTGTTACAGTGTAAGTGAATAAACCTGCCGGCTCACAGTCGAGGTTTGTTTGTAACATTCAGTCTTTATTGTCTCTCGGCTCTTTGTTTAATTCAACAATCAGTCATCTGCGTTTCCACCTGATGAACACTTTTCATGAGAAGAGATCCGCACATAGAAACCAAAGTCCTGATTGAAAAAGCAGTTTAAGATTTTCACTTTGAATGCAGTTGGAGACTTCCCCCCCCCCCACACTCAATATTATAATTTCAATGTTAGCACAGAGAAATGCAGCTTTTTACATTTCCACAGTATAAACCAAGACATGAGATATCTGCAATGAGCAACAAAGCAGAACAAAGAGAGAATCAAAGGCAAAACAAAAATGCTTCCCATGTTTTAAAAACGAGTTCATCTATCCAGAAACGAGGCGATCAATGCTGAATGGAGAAAGTATGAAGGGTAAAAATGTGAATTATACACAGTCAGACACAAAGTTATCCACAATTATAAGGCAGCTCATTGTAAGGTCAATCAATTCTATGTTACCATGGCAACCAATGACTTACATTTTTTTTAATTTTTAAAATTAATTAATTTGTTGGGCTTTTTGTGCCTTTTTATGCCTTTTTATTTGAGAGATAGGACAGTGGATAGAGTCAGAAATGGGGGAGAGAGAGAGTGAGGGGAATGACATAGAGGAGCCACAGGTCTGATTTGAACCTGATGATCAAATGATTAATAGGGTAGTTTCCTCAATCAGAGTTTCCTCAATCAGAGTACGAGTCTCTCAAAAACACAATGTTCCTGTATCGTAATCTACACACTCTGCACAGCACATCCTAACTGTACAAACAGTCCCAGCAGTGATTCATTAATTGCATACATGCAAAAAAAAAAAAAAAAAAAAAACCCTGAAATGCACAAATCTGAGACGGATTCAGAAGCAAAGCTGCTCTGCTGCTGTTACAGTCTGTCAAACAAGATGTGTTAAGTTTCAGCAGCCGGGACCTCCCAACCCAAACTGTTTATTTAAAAGTTACAGATTGACCTTCACCATTACAGTTTCAACATGTCGTACAAGCCGGCGCACGAGGATGTGTTCTGGCAGAGAGAAGGTCACATGCTTTCTCTTTTCAGCTGAATTTGCATTAATGCTTTTTGGCTCCTTTTTTGGGAACCTGCGTTTTCTTTTACTGCCTTAACGCAGCCTTGGATTCTGTCTCTGATTACCGACTAAAAGCTCCCACCAAGAGTCTTAAAAGGACTCGGTGCTGTTGTGCATCAATCCTGTGTTTTATGGCACATGGGGGGGAGGGGGGGGGGTGTCCTGCAGGAGAAGAGGTTTGTTTAAGTTAAAGGTGTTGTAAACTACATTTCCTCCCCCTCGTCATTGGACCGTTGTTTATAAAACTATGGCAGCTTATGTAACTGACTTATGGCTACCACTAACACACATTTCAGTGTGCAGTTTGTTCTTAGTATTACTTTTTTATGACTTGCAGTTTTTCAGTTTTTATTTTATAATCAACAAATCAGTCATATGTAAATGGGGGGGGGCTGTGGCTCAGTTGGCAGAGTTGTCGTCTCTCAACCGGAAGGGTTGGCCCCCCATAACTCAACCATGTAGACCGATGGGCAGCCAGAGCCAGGACAGGACCAGAGGGCTGTCAACTGGGAACCGTCCTTTGTCTGTGTTTGAACCAATTAGTCCCACGACACTTTGGGAAGGTCAGACTGTGAGCTCCGGCATCCCAGAGCCACCCCTCTCCAAACACCAGACCCACATGCAGACCCTCTACGTCTTAGCTGCCCTACCATATGGGCTTTTTCAATAAATCAAAACATAATGATACATCCCATCTCATACCTAATCCATACAGCCAACGTTCATCCACTTGATCTTCACACACATACAGTATCAAGGTACAGGAGAGATTCATGATGTTCTTTGAAGGAGGTTCTCGGGGTTTCTCCCAGTTCCTGAAGAGGATCTGTCGACCAGTCAGGATAGCAGTCTGTATCCTGTATATCAGTGTTTCTGGAAAAGGCAGATAACACTTCTCAGTCTCCTAAAAGTAGAGTTTAGGACAGAGCACAAACTGACTTTTTATCACATTGACTGATGGATATTTTCATGCAAATAACTCATGTTCACTTCTGTGTTTTAGAGTTGACCCTCGGCCTCAGGGCGACCCCTTTCAAGCTCTCCTCGTCCAGCATCTCCTCCGGATCCTCCATCAAGGTAAAAATCTAACTTTGCACGGGATATTTTAAGAAATGTTCATCAAATCAAAAAAAAAACGCACGTTCATTCATAAAAAAAAATTCATACATACAGAAAGTCAGAGAGCTTTAAAAAGTTATAACTGACCATTGGGAACATTCAGAACGTGAAAAAATATGATGAAATGTAAAAATAAGACCATGAAACACAAAATATCTCAATTTGTTTTTTCTTTTTCGCGCTCCGGTTTGTGTGTTGTTGTTTTTTTTCAAAGTAATTAAAGCAATGACTGATCAATAATCTGCTCTGCGCGTCCACAAGTATGGCATTGATCTTCAGATACGGACTGCAGAGTCTTACCTTCCCAACAGACACAGATTCACTGATCCCGCCTAAACCGAGAAAGCTCCTGTTTAACATCCATCCCAGAACTATTTCCTGAGGATTTGGCTCACAGCTTGCTCCCTCTGTGCGGGGAAAAGCCATAAGCCGCCTCAGAAACACCACACATAGGGGTAACCTCCATATTTTACCTATTGCCTATTGCAGTTGGGACGCTTCAATCACAACATAATTTAAGATTTATCTTAAGTTGTTCTTCTCCATATTTTCCGACTTTTCCTAAATGGGCTTGAGTTTGTTCCTTTCAATTAAAAACACTAATTCAGCTCTCATCCTCTATTTCATTACCTCCTTTTTTCAAATCAATTCCATTCCGTTTGTAGCAGATATCACCTATAAAGGTCTGAGAGGCGAGTGAGCCGGGGACATTAAAAGACAAACAGAGTGTGAGAAAAGCCCGGAGAGGAGGGAAGAGCAGTGTTTATCAAACACAGAGCGGGTAGCCAGTCACATCTGTCCTTGTAGGGTATGTGAAAGGAGAGAGAGAGAGGGAGAGGGAGGGAGGCGCTCTGGGCATTCCTCCTTTTTCTCTTGGCAGGACATGCCCACTCTGAGATTTATCTGGGAAATGTTTCCTTAATCTCACCTGTCTGTCTGTCTGTCTTCATGCACATCATCAGCGTCCAATTTAATTAAAGAATGTCAACATACTGTAAGTCTTTACTTGAGTACAAACTGATCCACTCCAGTCTAGTCCTGACCACCTGGGGGTTAGAAAGAACTGCTAAAGTCCCGTTAGCCTCTTTGGTTAAACTCCTCGCTCGTCCATGAATGGAGAGTGAGAAGAGACGTGTCCTGTTTATTCCTTAAAGGCGGTGTATTTAAACTCCGGAGCAGAGGGGGGTAATCCCTGTTACAGGCTGACAGAGCTGGTTAATTAAGGCTGAGAGGAGACTCACTCTGCAGGGCTGCCAGGTGGATTTAAGATGTTTGGATAAGACTGTCTCCATCAGTTAGGCTGGTTCTTTTTTTTCCAAGTAATCTGCAGATGGACCAGGATTCTGCAAGAGATGAGGTTTACATAATACAACATTTTACAACATGGTAATGTCACTGTGAGTGCTTACCTAGTGGCAACCGTTCAGGATTTAAAAATAAAGCCAATAAGAAATAGCACAAAAAGAAATCCAAAAGCTGAAAAATCTTAGGTCCCATTATTCCATTGTTATTACAGCAGTAATAGACATGTTTACAGCCTGGTACACAAACAGTTTTGGTCTCTTTAGCTCATTTTCTTTATTGGCAAACACTGTGGGCCTTGTTTCTGATTGTAAAAAGTTAAAGGGTTAAACATAAATTATGATTTTTTTCATTATTAGGGGCGTGGTCGTAGACTCTATAAAACAAGGGTGTAGTACTCATTGACGTCCCCCATTGGTTTCTGAAGCAGACTTTTAAAGCCCAATGATGGCGGCCGCCAAATTGGAAGTGCCGTCTCAAACTAACTTTCAGTAAACCTAGCAACATGCAGGTGGAGCTGAGGTGGAGCTGAGGTGGAGCTGAGGTGGAGCTCAGGTGGAGCTCAGGTGGAGCTCAGGTGGGCCTTAAGCCTCCTGACAAACGGCTACAACACACCAGCCAGTCAGTCAAATCAGCCAAATCCCTTATAAATAAATATCCCCCCTGTACTGTGTGCACAATAAAGACATGAGCTCTACAGACCAAAACAGCTTTTGTTCCAGGCTGTGAACAAGTTTATTCGGGTATTTTAACATGGGCTGTAAATACAATTTCTTCGGCTTTTGCAGCTCACCTCAAGTGGACACTTGAGGAACTGCAGTTTTTTGTGTTCTGAATTGGATTATTTTGTCGACACTGTATGTTGCTGCTTGGGCGTGGCTGATTTGACTGACAGGTGGCCATCCTGTAGTTGTTTGTAGTTGACCCCCTCAGCTCCAACTTTTTACCTGTTTCTCTAGATAGACGCTAGGTGGAGTCTACATTTCCAATATGGCGACTTCAGTTATTTGGCTTCAAAACAACTCTTAAGAAAACTAATGGATGACATCACTGTGACTACGTCCATTTTTGCACATTCAATGTAATGTTTACATGAGTTTAGTATGACTAAACATGATATATCTTTTAAATCAGGGGGTAGGGAAATGTTTGTAGCTGCTTTTTATTATTGAAAAGTGTTTCTGCACCTCCCAGAACTTTGTTCTTTCCTGCAGCCAGCCAACAGCACAGCTTGAATTATTGCCTGCTTCATGTGTCACTCATGAGTTAAACCGTTAATTGTCACTGTCCCGTTCACTCTGTGGTTATTCATAACAGCTTGGGATCAGTGTCATGCATAGACTCAGTCTGCAGCCTCAGTGTATGGGCTCAACGTGAATGCCTCCATTGATAAATCCCGCTGCTGTGATGAAAACTAAGTCCTTCTCTGTTTCAACAGTCAAACAAGCTCATGTTTCGCCTTCCACTGCCAGATTTACTCAAGTTTTACCAAAACAAACACTTAGCCTTAGGGACTTGGCTAATGAGATTGTACAAACAGCAGCAGCCGCCGTCGCTTAGCATCAACCGGGGGGGGAGGCGGCTTTGTTTCAGGTTGATCCAGAGACCACCTGTTCTGACTTTCCACGGTTAAGACAAAGTTCAAGGTTATGTGAGAGGAAGGACTTATAACAAAGTAGCTTATACAAGTTCCCTTTGCACATTAGCGTGTACTGTAGGTTCATCAATGCAAGAGGAGAATGCAGATATATCAAGGGAATATTCAGTGTAGCATGAGTTTTAATAAGCTCTTCCTGTTTGGTGTTGTTAAAGGTTGTTTATTGACCGCATGGGTCCTGTGTGCGACTCTGATCTGTTTGGGTGGTCTCTCTGCTTCTCTTTGGTGGTCTCACTTCAGCACTCACAACCTCCACTATTACCGAGTGGTATTTTATTTGAAATCCAATAAAAAATGTGTGTCTGATAGTATCGGCTCTTTCTGTGGATGATGTGTAGGGTAACATTTTTATTTATCTAACCAGGAAAAGCTTGTTGAGTTTAGACTTTTGATTCCAAGAGTGTCAGGATTACAACAGGCAGCAACACAGTCGATTTTTCATCATTACAAAAGTAAAACTTTAATGTAATGTTAGAAAAAAGATACCATTACATTTTTGATACCACAGCAACACAAATAGAAAGTCTAGTCACTGAGGGAGTACCGTGCTTAACCACGATTGTCCCCCCTCCCCATTCCCCCGCTGGCCTGCAATCACACTGCTCCAGGACTAACCGGGCCTGAGCACGGTAACCTCTTGTACATAACGTTGTAATACAACACATGCATGGCTTTACGGGATTATGAAGCGTGCTTAGTTTACAGGACAGGCGGATAAATAAAAGGGACATTCCCTACTCTCTCTCTCTCTCTTTCTTATCAAATTGAATGTTTTTTTTCCCAGCTCAGTTCTGATCCTATTCCTGTTTTCTTCCTCCTGGTGTAGGTTGAAGGTACAAAGAGAGCTGACCTTAAAAGAGACTTTTCGACAAGAATACATCAGTTTGTTTTGTTGTGGAGAAAATAAGACCATCCAACAAGAAAATACAATAAACTGATAAATAATGGCTTTAAAATCTTGATACACAGAACATGGAGAGGAGAGCTGCACGTTTCAAAGATTACAATCTAATCAAAGCTCAACAAAGAGAAGTGAACCATGTAAAGGTGTCAGAGTGAAAGACAGAGAGCTGGACCTTTTTAAATACAGAAGAAGTAAGATGAAGTTTTTGTCTGAGTGGAGATGCTTGTATTATTTCAGAGCAGTGATGAGAGTTTGTATCAGACAGGTGACGTTGATTATTGATGCCTCCTCCTGCTCTTAGTGATCTCAGCTGCTCCTGCCCGTCTCAGCTCAGCGCCGCGCTCAGCCTTGAACACAAACATAAATAATACCTCAGCTTTATTACCGGGGTGATGACAGGACGCTCTCTCTCTTTGTCCTGCACTCACACAGACTACTGCCAAGCTCTGGGTCACGCAGGCAAAGTGCTGCTGTGTGAACTCACAGGACACACAGACACTCAGTCAGTGACAGGTTGTCTCTCTGTCACATAGAGGCAGAAAGACCCCCATTGTTATCATACTGCTGATCCATGACACATGCTGCTTACACAACCACATCAGGCGTGGGACAGATTTAAGCCTGGTCTGTAGAGAGGAGCGCTAACCGGGGAGAAAAGGTGTGAGAGGTTTTTATCGGATTAAACCTTAAAAAAAACAAATTTTCTACCCCCCTGATGTCTCCTGATATTCATTACCTAAGAAGATTCTTAGTTCACCTCTTTGATGGTTCCTCTGAAGACAGAAACCTCTGCATTATATTTTAAAGTGACACAACCTCTATTATTCTATTGATCAAAAGTACCAAAAAATACCAAAGGTTAAATGAAATTACAGATCTCCAGTCATATTTCAACCCAAAGCTGCCACAAGTGAAAGAGAGAGAGCACTGTCTTGATTGAACAAATGCACTGAAAACGTTAAAAAGCGCTGCCCTTCTATAGTTGTGCAATGTAGACAGTGTGCAATACTTTTTCTTGCAATATTTAGAAATTGAAAACAATAAATAACCAAATATTGGGCGCGTAGGACTTCTATTTTTGATGCCGTATCGAAA